AAAAAAAAAAAGTCTGGGCAGGGCACCCAGGCTCCATCCCAACACACAGACTGGGATGGAATTCCTGCCAGACCAGAAGGTGGGTGGGAGTGAGGGATGGCCACACCTCTGTTCACCAAGAGGGTGTGGGTATAAGGGGAATATTGCACCTTTCCGATCATTGGTGTCTGGAATGTCCTTGTCGTCCTTGGCAGGTGGAGCCTATTCTTAGGTCCCTGGAATCTGAAAGAACGTTGTTGCTTTAAATATCCAAAATGATTGAACTGCTTAAAACATTCAAAATGGCTGTGCCTTCTGGACAGGCAAAAGTCCACAGCTCACCCCTTTTCCCTCTTTGCTGCTTCCCCTTTTATTCATCACCCACCAGTGCAGTCTTCCATGCAGCCCCTGCTATAGGGCCAATTTTTAGGTTAATTCTTAGGTCCTTATACGACTTGGCAATATCCCAGCTGTCTGCGGCATCAGGATCGCTGACAGACCACAGCTCTGCATGTCCCCTTTTTTGGTTTTCATGCAGGTTCTTCCACTGGTTGGAGTGCAGTCCACTTCTGTATCTTTACTTTCAAAGCTCAGGGCTCCAGGATTATTTTCTGTACCTGTATTAATTGGTTCCCCTTTTCTTTGTTGAAGAGGGTCTGTGTAGTTTGTCTGCCTATTCCACCATCTTACCAGAACTTCCAAGCAAAATCTTAAAGCGGTCAAATGGTTCCTCCTTACTGCTTATTGTAAAATATGAGAGGAAAGAGATGGACTTAAAAATGAGTTGTGCAAAATGAAAACAGAACTTCAAGATCTGGAGAGTTCTGTTGTACAGACTAAGGACACATATCCTAGAATACTCACCAAGGACATGGCTACATAGTCTTCTGTTAAAGAAATTAAGCCTGTGACTGATGGCTCTAACTAACTACCACAGCAGAAAACCCATTAGCTTAAACTGAAGGGGATGGAGAAAGAATGAAAGGAAAGAATGCTGTTTGCCTCTTAGAATTCTACAGGCAGGAAACAGGCCAAAGAAGCTACCTCTTTTGTACTCCAAGAAAGAAAAAGACCATCCCTGTGGCAGCTGAGAGGTGGCAGAACTGTTGGAAGGAGCATGGGAAGCGAGGCCTTGGTTTCAAAGGATGGGACCACAGCCTCCTAGCTTTCTGAGCCGAGTCTTCTCCAGTTTGGCTCTGGGGTGTGGGGCTGCTGTTGAGGTGTGCTGGGGGATGGGGCTGTTGCTCAAGCTGAGAGGGTGGGGTTGGTCTGCCCAGGGGTCAGGAGAAGGGGCCTGCTGGGGCTGAGGTGGTGTTGCCACTCAGATAGACTAGGAGAGTAGCTGCCCAAAGCCGAGGTAGCCAAATTGCTATCCCAGTGGACCTGGAAGGTGGAGCTGAAGCCCAGGGCCAAGGGTCCTCCACCCAGAATCCAGAGGACATGACCAGCACCCAGAGTCTGGAGGGCAGGACCATTGCCAGGTCAATCTCAGAGAACTGAGGACTATTTTTAGGCTTTAAGAGCTAATGTAAATTGTTCTTCTGGGTTCTGGACTTGTTTGGTGCCGTGGTCCCTTCGTTCTCCCCAGTTTCTCCCGTTTGTGCTGGAAATGTCCGCCTTGTGCCTGTTCCACCAATGTACTTTTGAAAGAGGTAACGCGTATTCTAGATTCACAGAGGAAAGGGAGTTTTGCCTCAGGATGGACTATGCTTAGTCTCACCCATACTTGATTTAGATGTTTCAGATGAGATTTTGTACTTGGAATTGATTTAAGACTTTTGTAATGATATGATGGGGTGAATGTGTTTTACACATGGCAAGGACATGAATTCTTAGGGGGCCAAAGAGTAGAATGTTATGGATTGAATTATGTTCCCCCCAAATATGCATTAAATCCTACCCTCTATGCCTGTGGTTATAATCCCAGTTGGGATCTTTGTTATGTTAATGAGGCAGGATTAGTGTAGGGTGTATCTTGAGTCATTGTCTTTGGAGATACAAAAGAGATTTAATAAGTGAGCAGAAGACAAACAGGATAGAGTCCATGCCAAGACACATGGAGATCTCCAAGGAATAGGGAAGCAGAAACTGAAGAGACGAGGACCTTCCTCCAGAACCACCAGGGAGAGAAAGCCTTTCTTTAGGGCCAACACTGAATTCAGACTTCTAGCCTCCATAACTGTG